GCATAATGCCCTGAAACATGGTGTTCCTGAGCTGGGGTGATCCACATTTAGATCAAATGGCACAATGTCTGTTCTGGATTATGCATAAAGCAAAATTCTGATGAACAAAGAGAGTAGGTTGGTGGGTCATGGTTTCACACGGTGGTGGATTGCAACAAAACCAGCAGAATGAATCAGCTAAAATTGTACCAGTCAAGATTCCTGCAAGGTGATGTGCACATGCAGTTCTGGAAGGACTATGCACACCCAAAGTGTGCACAGACTATGGCCCCACTGTGTAAATATGCCAGAGTCATTCCCTAATTCTATTGTAATTGAATGAATGGAGAGTCAAATACCAATGTGTCTCAAACCATATGGGTAAAGTATTTCTTCCTGTGCTTGAAAATCAGCCAGCTCAGTGCAGTTGGGAGATGAGTTGTAGTCACCTGGAGGAAGAGACAGCATTTTAGAGTGTGATAATATCTGATCATATTCCGAAACGTGACTCTATCCTGTAGAGCAGGGGTAGGCAACCTTTCTCCTTTAAGGGCTGAGGGACTTCAGCTCCCAGAATCCCAGGAGCTATTGGCCAACATGGGACTATTGGCCAACATGGCTGAGGCTTCTGGGAGCTGAAGTCCCTCGGCCCTTAAAGGGGAAAGGTTGCCTACCCCTGCCGTAGAGGATAAGTCATTTTATTTTGCTGTGCGATAATCTCCAAAATGACTACTTGGAGCAAGTCAAACCTGCTGGCCAGGTTTGACCCAACACATCCTTTGCTAGGTGAACTACATATTATGTTTCCAAGGGAGCTAAATAATTAAACAACTGCTTATAGATACAGGTTCATTCTGAAAATGGTCTCAATAGTTTCAAAAACTACTATTAAAAACTATACTAATTTTCCACACTAACACAGCAATGTCTTTGAAATCTGCCAACAAAGCACATGGAGGTGACAATAGCCACGATTCTGTTAATGACTTATCCTTGCATATCCTCGTGTTATGTGACTGTAAGTCTTTTTTTTTTTTTTTTTGGACATTGAGAAAGAGATACTAAGGAAGAAAGAAGTACCTGCAAAATGTCCGGCTGTAGTTCTGTAGCCATAAGAGAGATCCCAGATCTTCAGTAACTAGAATAAATAGTATGGCAACATGCTCTAACATTTGAAAGTGTTAGAAAGAGAGGGATGAACAATTGTACAAGTGGAGCATTATGCTCCATCCATGTGATGCCACCAAATGCGTGATGGGAGATGGCAACTGGAGTGAGAGAACAAGAGAAAAAAGAAAGTTAAAGGACTGAAACAGCTTGCTGAATTTTTAGGTTTTGGTAGTAGGAGCAGGGGCTTCAGTTATCCACTGGAGCACTTAATCTGTATCTTTGTCTATGGCAAATCACCAATAAAGCTTCCAATGAACTTCTCTCCACTTGTAAAAGCAAGATGGGCATTATAGTGCTTTCTTTGTGTTAAAATGGCACATGTATCTCTGTCTTGAAGGTGAAGGAAGAAAGCTACTACTTAAATTACACTTGCCACCTGTAATTTTTATAAGTATAAAAATATTAATGTTTTTAATGTGTTGACCAATTAATTGAGAGTGCTTTTTGTCCACATATAATATTTTAATCAATTCTACTAACTGAAAAGAATCACTCAGTGATTACTGTATTTATATATCCCCGCCTTATCAGTGAAACTGGATATCCCAGGAGCATTTGAAATACAACTTGCTGAACCTTTTACCCCCATGTCACCAGTTCAAATGTATTCTAAGATCACAAAGTGCTTGACAGGTATGTCTCTGCAGTTGTTTTGTTGTTGTTAATTGCCCTCCAGCGGATTTCAACCCATGGCAACCCTGTAGATGAGACAACTCCAAGACTCCTTGTCCTCCTCTGCTCTGCTTAGTTCCTGCAAACTCATACCCGTGACCTCCTTAATAGAGTCCATCCATCTAGCATGTGGTCTTCCTCTCCCTCTACTTCCCTCCACATTTCCTAGCTTTGCTGTTTTTTCCAATAAGTTGTGCCTTCTCATGTTGTGTCTGAAGTACAACAGCCTCAGTTTTGTCATTTGGCTTCCAGAGAGATTTCCGGCTTGATTGGGTCTAAGACCCATTTGTTTGTCTTTTTGGCTGTCCATGGGATCCTGAGCACTCTTCTCCAGCAACCACATTTCAAATGAATTTATTTTCTTCCTATCTTCTTTCTTAACTGTCCAGCTCTCACATCTATACATTGTAATAGGGAAATAATGGCTTGTATGATTCTGAGATTAGCTCACTGCTTTTAAAAAGTGTTTTACCACTGCCAAATTCAATCCTAATTCAGGCTGCATCTGGGTATTATCAGATGTATTTTGCTGACAAGACTGTCATTCAGGTACAGCCTGGGTAACTTCTGGATAGAATCTGAGGTCAGCCAGCCGATTTGCAAAGCTGGGAGCTATCCAGTTTGAAAAGAGGCTGGCTGAGCTCGGATTCCACCTGGAAGTTTCCTGGACTGCAACCGGCTGGTGGCGTCAATGGCAAAATACGTCTGATAATACCTGGATGAACCCCAAATTAGGATTGAATCCAGCAGCAGTAAAATGCCTTTTTTAGCTGTATGCTAATCTCCCAACTTTTGTGTTCAGTTATATATCTTTTCATTTTAGAATCTTTTCTAGTTCTTTCATAGCCACCCTCACCATTCTTAATCTTCTTCTGATTTCCTGATTGCAGTCCCAATTTCTATCAATGTTTGATCCCAGATATGAGAACTCTTTTACTACTTTTGTTTCTTCATTGTCTAGGTTGAACTTGTCTAGATTCTCTGTTGTCATTATTTTTGTTTTCTTTATGTTCAACAGTAAGCCTACCTTTGCACTTTCTTCCTTGATCTTCCTTAGTAGTTCCAGGTCTAGGAGGTTTTCTGCTAATATTATGGTGTAATTTGCATATCTTAGATTGTTGATATTTGTTCCTCCTATTTTCACTCTTCCTTCTTCTGCTTTCCTTACAATATGTTCTGCATACAAGTTGAATAGATAGAGTGATAAAATGCAGCCTTGCCTGACCCCTTTGCCAACTAAGAACCATTCTGTTTCTCCTTGTTCTGTTCTGAAAGTGGCCTCTTGTCCCAAGTACAGATTCCTCACCAGAACTATCAGATGTGTTGGCATTCCCATTCCTTTAAGGGCATTCCATAGCTTTTCATAATCAATGGATCAAAGGCTTTGCTGTAGTCTATAAAGCACATGATGATTTTCTTTTGGAATTCTGTGGTGTGTTCCATCAGCCCTCTTATGTTTGCAGTGTGGTCCCTAATGCCTCTTCCTTTCCTAAACAGTGCTTTACCATGTCCTAAAAAGCTCTATGGATAAATTCCTTCTTCTACTGAAATCTAAGGTCTCAAAAATTGGCTGCTATTCAGCAGTGGTACAGCATGGCATAAGCAATCTATGGCTGGAATTCTCTATTGTGATCTATGTTACATAGCATAACATATACTTAGCTACATAGTGGAAGTATTAAGAAACCCTGTTAGTGAATTGCAAAAATGCCTAATGGGACAATGGTAAGTGTCCTGATGCAAATCAGACAATGTGGATGCATATCGATACTCCTCCCACCAGATGGTGTACTAACACACATTGGTCTCATTGGATATCAGTCACTTTGTTGGTTCCACCATGTAATAATTAATGGCAGCCCCTTGCTGAATACAGACATTGTGAAATTGCTCAGTTCTATTTCCTACAGACGTAAGTCCACTTACAAAGATGTAAGTCCCTCAACTAGCAATAATACTGTAAAGATTCCACCTCAGCATTAGGAAGAATCTCCTATAGTAACAGCTGTTTGACAGTGGAACAGACTCCCTCGGAGAGTGGTGGAATCTCCTTCTTTGGAGGTCTTTAAACAGAGGTTGGATGGCCATCTGTCAGGGATGCTTTGATTGTCAGTTCCTGCATGGCAGGGGGTTTGGATTAGATGGCCTTTGTGGTCTCTTCCAACTCTATGATTCTATGATACTGAATTTCAAATCATATCTACTTTGGTACCAGCAGCATTGCACTGTGGCTAATTTTTATTGTTACTTAACTTGAAAGCCTATGAATTCAATGCAGTTGCTCTATCCACTGCTGTTCCATTTACAGCTGCAATGAGCAATTTGTCACTTGGAAGAAATCTTTCTTGGGGTGAACATATTTAGCTAAGCCAGTCCTTGGATGAACCTCCATATATTTATCTGGGGTAGTCCTTTAAATCCTTACCAGACCAATAGATACTGTCAGGTCCTATGTTCTAGTCTCACAGCTATCAAGAACCCAGGATCACTATAATGAGATGAAAGGGAAGGACTTTTTGGAAGTGTTTCTAACTTAAGGAATGTTATTCAGGCACAATAGTATACAGTGTACCAATTAGAGGAATGGATTTCACACTTTCTGGTTTTCTTGAGAAAACATTGTAGTGTTCAGTCCATTTGCCAAGAACCCTTTGAAAATCTTGCACAGAACCTGTTGGCATTTCAACAGATTCTGGGTACATATTCTGCGCCCCTCATACATACACATCAACCACTGGCCAGATACATCAGGCCATGAAATCACTGTGTGATTAATGAGATCAACCAAGCACATGCCTGATGCTCCCTTGAGGGTGAAAGATGTAGGGCCTTGGGAAAGATGTCTTCAGTGGGCACCTCCTTTAGAATGGGACTACCTCTCTCTCACTATCACTTCAGGCCATTGGCTTGTTTTCTTCATCTGGCAATAATCCAAAACCACTTCCAAGAAAGAGTTGACAAAGCAAATGAAGGCAAGTGCATCTTCTTCTTACTCTTGTGGTTACTAACAAGAGGGTAGGAAACAGTGGACAACAATAAGGAAGATGCAAAGCAGGACCAAGGAGGGCTTTGGAAGGATTAGCAGTAGGTCTTCTGGCTGACTGAGTACATATTTTCATTGCTCTTCCCATCACAATTGGCCTACACCTTTTTCTGGGTCAGTTATTACCAGCTAGGGAGCCAGTGTGGCATAGTGGTTTGAATGTTGGGCTATAACTTTTGAGATCAGGGTTCAATTCCCTGCTCAGCCATGAAATTCACTGGGTGACCTTGAGCAAGTCACATGCTCTCAGCCTCAGGATAAGGCATGGCAAATCTCCTCTGAACAAATCTTGCCAAGAAAACCCTGTGAAAGCCTTAGGGTCACCATGTCAGAAATGACTTGAATGCACACAATAACAACATCACCAGCTCCAGCTTGTGGTTCTGTTTAGACTGCGAGGTTTCCACCTGGAGCCTGTGTGAATGTTGTTGTCATGCCTGCCACATGTCCTATCAGATAGGGCAGTGATTTAGTGAAAAAGGGAATTAAAACAACTCCTTGTCATTCTTCATCTTTGAGGTATATTGCTAAGGGGTAGCACTGTGAAGTATGCCTTGCACTCACCTGACTGTCTTCTCTATAGAGAAAAGGAGAGAGGAACCACCATCTCAAAGCTGTGAATGTAATATTTTTCCCTCAGGTACGAAACTAAAATGCAGACACTGCAACAAAATGATAGGGGAGAGAGGGGGAGTATATTTAAACATTCTCCAGTAGTGAGAAATGTATTTAACTGCCTTCAGCCATAAACTCTGTGTGAGAGACTTTTCATACTTTGATAGAAATATATTTAATTTGCTTTTATTTATAAGAAATTTGTCTCCTGTCTTTACTCCTGTTTGAGTGAAACAGGCTTACAATAATAAAGAACAACAAATATAGGGTAATATACAGTAATAAAATAATCAGTGGTAGTGGGTGATTTCTCTGCCAATCAAGTGGTAACTCTGCTTTGGAGGTTAGTCTGAACTATCCAATGTGTTCAACCAGTCACCAAAACTGGCTTCAGAACCTTGGATATCTCCTTTATACTTTGAACTAAATTCTAGAGCAGGTTCCGTGCTCCACTAACATGGAAGCCATCAGCTGCCACTGATAAATATAATGTGTTGCATTACAGTGTCTTAAACTGTATTTCATACAAGATAAAACAGTTTAACCAAGAGATAAAAGTTTTTTTAAAAAAAAAAAAGCACAAAAAAGACACCATGTACCATTAACATCCTATGTAATTTCTCAGCCTTTGCCAGTGCATAGTTGATGCCAGACAGATATGTGCATGGAGAGAGTTTCATAACTTTGGTCTTACTATTTAGAGCAGGGGAAGGCCTTTTTCTCAGGAGCCATCTGTCTGGCAATAGACCTTTGGAAGTTATTTTTAAGCTGATACAGCAATACTGTGCTGAAGCCATCTATATCAGACCAGTGGTAGAATGATTCTCTGCTAATGGCTTCAACATGTCATTATATTCATACATGTTTAACAGTAAATTCTGAAGAAGAATTTAAATGACAGGCAGGTTTGTTAAATTTTAGTTTTATATCCATGTTTCTGGGCCTGCCAGACCTGGAAAGGCAACACCAGCACCCTGCCCCTGCCAGTGGGTGCAGCAAGTGGATGGCAGAAGTGCCCTGGCTGGCAGAAGAGGGTGGCTAGAGTGTGTGCCAGGCAGCTTAGGTGCAACAGGGAGGATGTGAGGCAATCAGGAGGGGGGTGCAGCTGGCAAGCACTCCTTCTCAGCTGTTGCTTCTCCTTAAACCACCCTTCCCCTGCCCTCCTGGTCTTTTCCCATTTTGTCTCCCCTTGAGGGCTTCCTATCTAAGGTTGACAACATATGTTACCACACAAGGGTGACACCAACCCTAGTTATGCCATTGTGTTGTTGTTGTGTCCCTTTATGTCATGGCCATCTTGGCTGTGGACTCAGGGGAAGACTGTGAGGCTGAGCTAGAGCCTCAGCCTGAACCTGAGAGCTCCAGCAGAGGCTGTGGCTTTAGAAGATAACCAGGAGCCAAACCTCCCAGCAGCAAAGCCTTCTAGTACTGTGGACATGGAGGACTGCATACTTGCCTTTAGCCAGAAATGATCTGAAAGGGCCTGCCTCTAGCACTCAAGGAGGCTTTATGAAAAACACCAGCTTGTCAAGATCACCTGCACCAATGAGGGCTGATGATGAAGGCTGGGAAGGACACCAGGGCTTACCTCAAAAGCTATCTGAGTTCTCCAGAGAAAGTACCTTCGTCCTGACTTGGTATTGATTTCTTGGCTTGAACCTTTGGACTACAGACTGACCTGATCATGCTGCTTTTCTGGAACCCTTGACCTCGACTGCCTGACTTTGCTCTTGGCTTGACCCTTTGTCTTGCACCCTGCCTGATCACAGACCTCGTTACGGACTCTGCCTTGTTTGTAAGTCTGCTCTTTGAGGCTTGCTTGCACTTAACATGCTGGTTTGTTTGGACTTGCTATCAGCTACTTGGCTGCTTTCCCAGACACTTTAAGTAATTTATAGTGACCCTAAGGCAAACCTATCATGGGGTTTTCTGGAGCTGAGAGTGTGTGACTCTTCCAAGGTCATCCAGTGGGACTCCATGGTCAAGCAGAGAATCAAACCCTGACCTCTAGAGTCATAGCCCAACACTCCATCCACTATACTATGAGGGTTCTCTTTTATACTTATGCTAGCCCCAATTTAGTGCCAGAGATATGCTATCCAGTTCCCATGCAATGCAAACAAATAGTGCCTTTGCCATATATAAAATAAATTTGTCAAAGACACTATTTGCATATATGTGCATATGCATATATATGCAAATCTTGCCAAGAAAACCCTGTGATAGGGTCACTTAGCGTTGTCATAAGTACGAAACAACTTGAAGGTGCACAACACCAACAACAATAAATTCATCCCTGCTCTGGAAAAGGTGCTACTAATAAGGAGACTACAGATGTGGGCCTAGTAGAGCTGCATTCCTCTCATTGCCCACTGGGCTGCACAGGTTCATTGAAAAATTAACATACCTTGGCTAGCAAGGTGTTCTGTTCTCAAACAAGCAGACAGTATGGCATCAACCCTGGATGTAGCAGTTAAAGGAATGCAATACATGGCCATTATGGATTGGTGCTGCTGACTGGGAAGATGGAACCCTGGGGGCATTTTTGGGCTGGGGAGCATGAGCAGAGACAGAGGTTGTATGAATGATGCTAAAGTATATGCACATCAACTGGAGCATGTAGCCAGTGGTACCTGATGTTGGTTCATTCCTGGATCTTTTATCTATTCCCTAGCCACTTCAACTGGAAACTGGAGAACAGGATATACCTGCAATACAATTGCAGCCTCCACTGCAAAGGTATGCCCCAGGCATCCATTTTTATATTGGTCTAAGGATCACCGCTTGACAATACAACCACTGTGAATTTTCAGATGACTGCAGACTGGGTCACTGTTGCAGGTTTTAATTGTCCCAGTTGGGACACTGAGCTCATAAACATTACTTGTTTGGACTACCAGAGAGCCTCAGCCACCACAGCCATTTTTCTGGCAACTTTTCCAGCTTCTGAGTGTGGAGGGAGAGTAAGAGGGAAAAATACTATGCAGAGGACTTGAAATTGAGGGGAGAGAGTGTCACAAAGCCAGGAAGACCTTCTTAGGACAGCAGCCTTGCCAAGCAAAGGCCTCAAATGCTGCTGTTGCCGTTAGCTTCACAGCACTTCACCCTGTTGGCAAATCTTTTCTCACAGGCTGGGTGTAGCTGCCAAGCCTTCTGAAACCTCACCCTCACCAAATAATTTGAATAACCATTTCAGCATGTGCGTCTGTGTGCACTGGGAGTGGTTTCCAAGAATTCTGCTCACCTGTCTGTTATCCACACTGGCTTCCTTTGTCAGCTGCACCCAGTTCACTTCTCTGGAGTGCAGAAGCAGAAGGCAATGGTGAGAAGATGCTTACATGCCTTCCACAAGGCTCATCAAAGCATGTCTGGGCTGGGGAAGCAGAGGCTGAATCAGGAAAGTGCTGTACAGGAAAGTGAAATGGATCCGCCCTAGGTGTAAGATAGGATCAGGGTGAGATTAGCAACCAGGGAGCTCATTCAAGGGTCAGTTAAGTCTTTAATCTTCCCAAAGACCTTTTTCTCCTCTCCAGCCTCCCACTTGGTCACATGCACACTGCACTCAACAATGACTAACCTGCTCTGTGTTGTGGAGGCAAAAGGCAAGCATTTCAGAAACTTCCTGCGGGTTTTCTGTTTGCAAAACACTGCACTGCTCTTTCTGTGGGCTAGCCACTTCTGTTGCTGAGAGGAGGCAGAAGTATCCATAATAACTGTGGACTGCTTCCTACTGTCCAGATCACATGGGGGTTGGAGCTACAGGAGGTCAACACGAGGGCATTGCCTCCCTTCATAAGAATTCTGCTTCCCCAATGAAATTTTCTTTCAGTTTTCAGATTCCCAGCATTGCCATAACTTAACACTTCAGTTGAGCATTACAACAATAGGAGTATGTCAGGCGTCAAAAGAAAAGGGAAGGCAAAGACAGCAAATATAAAAATTCTATGTGTGAACAACTTTCCATGTCTCACTTCCTGAAATGCTAGCAATTTAGGATCGAAGTAAAATTTCAGTGGGGAGACAACATAGAAATCAATTGTTAAAAGACAATAACAGCAGCCCACAATCCAGTTCTATGGTCAATAACCACAGAACACTGAGGATCAAAAGAAATGCAGTCAAGTGTCAGCTGAGAAATATGGCTGCAGGAACATATGGAACATCTTGACTGGCACTGTTCATTCATTCAAAATCCTTGCATCTCACTCTTTACCATGAGGTAGTATAAAATATAGGATGACATAAAATTTAAATCAAGTTAAACAGTCTAAAACTATTTTGAATTCAAAACAACAAAAATCAAATGACTTAAAAACATATTAAACAATGTAACAAGTTAAAATGATTTAAGACTACATACACATAGGAGAATATCACAGGGAGGTTTACCACGGTTAAAACATGGCTAAATCGATCCTAAAGTGCACTGGTGTGATCACCTGTCATGCTTATCTCCTGTGGTTAAATCACATCTGCTCTGCTCTCATCATCAAAACGTTCACATTTCTTCAATAATGGGAACTTCCATGTTTTAGCATGGCAGCAGGATGAAGACAATGATAGTGCCAAGTTGACCTTTGAGGGAGTGCTGGT